GCTGCGAGGGGTGGGTGTAGACGGTGTGATCGCACCCCTAAATTGTATTAAGAAAAATAATTGTATTGTATTGTTGATATATTATTTTTATCATTAAAATTGTTAGTACTGGTATGATTTTAAAATTATGGGAGTGCAATTTCCGCGCACCTTGAGATCCATTTTTCAAAATGTTCTCACTTCAGCCCCAACCATGGTTGAGCTGAGGTGGTGTGGATTCTCACGGACTCCTCTACCGCCAAATCCTACATTGACCCCAGGATAAATATTCTGCTTTCTGCCAATTTGCCAACAGCTCAGGGGCGTACGGTGAAAAACCTAAGGGGGTACGCCCCTGCAGCCTATTTGCGTATTTGCAGATAACAAAATAGCCGAAAAACATTCACAATTATCCTACAATTTTTAGGCCATTTTGTGTCAACATACTTTATATAGGTTGGGCTGAATGGACATTTGTTGTTGTCTCTTTTTCCGACGTGTCATTTGCTAGCAAAAGCATCGCCGCGGACAGCACGTTTCTTGGACAAAAGTGAAACAACATTGAAAATGTCAGAAGATTCCAGAACCACAACATTAACATTTGAAAATCTGTACATGACAAAATCCAAACATTTTAAAATAATGAAAATGATAATGACAATGACAAAAATATTTATTTCGTTTGAGCATGAAAATTTACGGAAAATATAAATGTACATCATTTTTGAAGATCAAAGAAAATGGGAAATTCCTGAAGCATACAGCAGCTTGTAAATCCCAAATTACATAATTAATTCTTTTACAAATACGATTCAAAAATAATTTCGACGCTATTGTGTTTAATATTGTAAGTATGGTATTTACGTAGTATGCAGATAATCGTCTTTTTGCATATGCAAAAGAAATAGGAGTGAGATACATTTAGCATACAGAAAAAATAACTTCTGATGTTACGTCCGTAACAAAACACGTCTATAATTAATTAAATGACTTTAGGTACATTTACACTGAATCTAGATTTTCCGATCAGATGACTTGCCGAATTGCTCAGAAAATAGAATCAGCATGACGTGTACATCTCCCTTATGCCTCACTCAAAGACGATCAGTTGTATAACTGTCTCTTATACACATCTAGATGTGGTGTGGGGGGGGGGGGGGTGAGGTCCCCGACGAGGGGTCAGGTTTCCCCAACGAAAGCAATGTGGGCGGCGTGGTCGAGCTTCGATGAAAAGGTTTCGAAAGTGGTCCATTTGGCGGAGCCCTCGAAAATTTTAACAATTATAGGTGTTTCAAAGGCGTATTTAATCGATTTTAGAGTCTACTAATATTTAGAAAATACATATAATTTTTTTTTCTCCCCGAAGAATTTTGTTTTTTCTCACTGACGGGGAGCCAGCTCTGCCCGAGGGGGGCCCCATCCCCCGCTGGCCCCACCCCTGAATGGGTCATAAATCTTCATTAACATGTCAAACACTAATTCGACTTCACATGACCAGGATATAGAATGTTCAGCATACTGTAAGAACTTTTACACGAATTTTGGTTTAAAGCAGATTAATATTGTAATTGGACTAAACCTATCAAATTGTAACAAATACTGTCATGCTGTATGCTTTTATAAACCTCTATTTTTATACTTCAGTGAAAATATGCCTATATAAAATGATACCATATTAATGCTGCTAATTTTTACAAGAATGTTTTTTTAACTATAATGTTCTTAATTGTGTTTAATATAACGACTGTTTATAACTGTATGTGACTATGATGACTGTTGATAAATTATTATTTATTATTTAACAAAATACCTCAGTGAAGAAAGATATGCTCAAAATTGTAGTAAAGTTAATAATTTATTTACCATTTTTTTCATACTGCTCTTTTCATGAGGAATAATAATAATGCAGAAATAGTTTTACTACTAGTTTAGAAGTTTTCATTTTTCAACTTAAAAAAATATATATATGACAGCCTTTTATAATACGTTAATAACAATTACATTTTAACAATAATATACACAATGGAATTACCATAAGCTACTTAAAGATGAGATTTTAGAAAAAAAAATTATAATTAGGTAGACATTATAAAAATACACTTAATAATTCCACACAATTATTTTCAAAAATGCCTTAACCTGATTTAAAAAATGAAATTTAGCCAAACGTATTATAGTATGGAGCTATAATAGTGAGCATAAGCTATAATAAAAAAAATATTTAACAAAAATAAAATATTCATAATGAAATTACCTACAATTTAAACGAAAATAATGAAAAATGTTATTTAAAAAAAACAAAACCGGCCTATTGTACACGATTCTATTTTACAAAAGTACCACTAAATTAAAGAACAAGATAGGCAGAAATATTAGAAATATCAAACATAAGTACATTAGAGCGTCTTCGTAGTTGGAAATCAGCACAAAATGGAATACGAACTTCCACAACCAAAATCATAAAGAGAATAAAAGAAATTGACAAATAATTATATTTAGGTATATTCTTTGCACAAACTTTAAGCATGGAAATAACATTAAACAAACTCCGCATCGTTTTTATAGAACATTTTCAATATCAGCAAATATCATGTACTAAATATGATTCATTATATCAACTTTAATTATAGGCTTACGTTTTTCATAGCTTAAAGTATTATGCATGTGGCCTCTCATCAAACAAGGCTGATAGCCTATCGTGTGAAAATTAGGCCTAAAACTTAGTTTTTAAAATGTTCAACTTCATTCCAGGAGAAATTCGAACATCTGCGTCAATTTGATGTTCAATGCACTTTTCAACAAGTGCTTTGTAATTCGCATTATGGGTTTCTCGATCTCTTCATTTGACGAAGCTTATCGTAAACAATTAGGCCAAACTTAAATCTCTTAAAGGTTCAACTTCATTCTAAGAGAAACTCATAAACATCTACGTCAATTTGATGTTCAGTGCACTTTTCAACGAGCGCTTTGACAGTCGCATTGCCGGCTTCTAGATCTCTCCACTTGAGCAGACAGCAGAATATCTTTTCTCTTTCTGGGGAATACACAGGGCACGCATGGAAGATCTCATTATCTTTCAGTCCAAGACTACGTACGAAGCTTTTCCAATCAGCTCCCAATTTTCCAGAAAATGTGTTTAATTCAGACTCACTGATTAATCTGTCTGGGTAAACTTTTTCCGGGGGCACTGGCTGCAAAGTTTTGGATGAGGCATCAGTACTTTCAGAAGACTCTGTAAATTTGATATAATTATTGTAATAAATGTAAAATAATGCATTCATTCAAGGTTTACATAAGAAATCATGGATGACCGTAACGCCTGATGTTACTGTAGGAATGCGGCTCCTTTGTTATCCCAATATGTTATTTTTTTTAATTGTCTTTAAGCCAAAAATTATATTTTTGAAGTAATACTTCCAAAATATTACATGATCAAAATTAGCAAAGTTGCAATTGTTTGTATGTCGTCAATTTCGCAACCAACAAGAATATGTCAAGTATAAGAACCTTCTTATCCAACTCACATTTCTTGAATTTTTATATAATGTGTCTAATAATTTAGCTTTTTAAATTACCGAATAAATAATAGCGATCTTAAACCAACCTGCTGAAAATAGTCTTTTGAGGCGAGATGTGTTCATTGCCTTTCTTCCACATCGAATCTTCTTCTTCAAGCAATCCTCCAGATCGTGTAAATGAGGTTTCTGTGTTGGTTGACACGCACTACAGAGGACGCGCAACTTGTAGCCAATCCCTTCTGTTGTGCCATACACTGTTTTCAGTTGATCTCTGAGGTAGTCTAATATCTACAGATTCAGATTTAAAAAAAAAAAAACCGCTGCAAATAATATTTTGATTTTCTTGTGGAAAATAAATTGTACTGTGGTGTATTTGAGTTGATTGTTACAGTAATTATTGTTTTTACTTTCACAAATGAGCTGAAACGTGATTGTTTTCGAAATATTTTTGAAAGTGACTATTACAATATTGTTGGAACAAACTAAGCGTATTAGAAATGAGCGTTAAATCATGCTTTGCGTAGACTCACAAGAATTAAGACAAAATGTGTTAGCAATATTTATCTTTAATCTCAAAAAAGCCTAGTTGTTAACTATCTCTACGTTTCTACTAGACCAATCAACCATTATTTACGTAGGCCTACCTCAATGCAGAAACTTGGATGAGGCTCAGCTACTACATTTCCATCTTGGTCAATTAAATGCGATATTTCAAGCTTTGAAGAAAAGAAAAATACATCCAAAGTGAAATCTGATTGTGTGATACTGGTGTTACAGTGCATTTATAAAATGGCAGTTTAGATTTAATTAATAATAATGATAATGTTAGTAATATAAATAATTTGAGGGTTTGGCCTAGAGGAAATGTTTCTGCTTCTTGTGCTGAAGACCTGATTGAAAACCGACTAACGTTGGATTTTAATTGGATTCGATCGTTCGGCCCCTAGAATAACTCTCGAATGAGAGTTAGGTGAGACAGGGTGCATGGTACTGGCGTCCTAATATGGCTGTCGCATGTCCTCATGGATTAGCCTAAATTTCTAATTCTAAAAAATCGAAATTAGGAATAATGTTAAAAATTAAATCCCAATAATTTAAAATTACAACGACGATCACAACGACTGCCGCCACATCGCCGACGATGACAATAATGATGATTATAATGTATTTCAATACATCTAATGATTATGATGCAAATTATGAGTTCCAGGATTAACAGGAAAAAAAATCGTAAAAAGAACTCCACTATGAAGGACGTTACTTGACCGCAAGAGAATCACATATGTAGGCCTATAATCATAATAACATAATAATATATAGTATAGACCCCTACTTTAAACACCGTCAGTTTGAAACGCTTTCAGTATTAAATTAGAATTATTGCAAGTTCCTAACAAATGTTAGTAATGCACGACTGTAGCACTCTCATCCATATTTTTACTCCTATTTAAAGAAGGACTTTTAAATGTGATTTAAATGTAACTTTTAGTTCAGTAGGCCTATCATCATTTTTTACCTTCAATGCGTGTCTGTTCTCAATTTTGACAGCGCCTAGACTCACCAAGTGATCGTCATCTAAATCAAAATCACTGCAATTTTGATACAATTCTGCTTCGCTACTTTTACCTTTGACCTTCATCAAGTCTAAAAATGCAACGACTAATATATTGTAGACAGCGTCAGGGAGGAAGTCCGTAGGGGTTACATAAACAGAAACCGTCTGTTTCTCGTCTTTCTTAACTTCCAAACTCTCTTTATTGACTTGCATGCGAGAGGGGACAATAAACC